GAAGAAGAAGAAGAAGAAGAAGAAGAAGAAGAAGAAGAAGAAGAAGAAGAAGAAGAAGAAGAAGAATTGGTCATGAAGTTGTGTATAGGGAGGGAAAACCTGGGATGCTTGAGACCATCCATTAGTTTGGGTCAGGTTTCTGCAAGAAACTGGTAATCTGTATAATTACTCAAACCTTCTTATATACAATACAGGTAATCCTCGATTTATGACCACAATGGAGCCCAGCATTTCTGTTGCTAAGTGAAAGATTTGTCAAGTGAATTCTGCCCCATTTTACGACCATTCTTGCCACAGTGGTTAAGCGAATCATTGCAGTTGTTAAGTTAGTAACATGGTGGTTAAGTCAATCTGGCTTTTCCCATTGACTTTGCTGGTCAGAAGTTCGCAAAAAGGGGTGGCCCCAGGACATGACCCCAGGACATTGCAGCCAGTTGCTAAGCATTGGAATTTTGACCATGTGAAAGTGAGGAGGCTGAAATGGTCATAAGTGTGAAAAAATGGTCATTAGTCAAGTTTTTTCCAGTGGTGCTGTAACTTTGGACGGTCCCTGAATGAACACTTCTAAGACCCTGTGTTTGGGTTCTGGAATTTGGGTAACCTTCCGCATTTAACCATTGGCCCCAGCTGCTGAAATGGTAACCAAATTCACTTTGTAAAGCACGGGTGTCAACTCAAGGACCAAGGGCCAAATCCTGTTTGCAGGGTGCTTAGATCTGGCCACGGGGGGCCCCCTGGAAATAGCAAAGAACCAGCCCGCAGTGCCTCTGTGTTGTGGTTAGCCGGCAGCAGGTGCAGATGGCTGAGGAGAGCGAGGACTCAGAATAGGGGCCAGGACCATCAGGGAGTGGACTGCTGCCTTCAGAGATTGTGGGGGCTGGCAGCAGCGATGAGGAGGTTCCCGAGGAGCCTGTGCCAAGCGCACATGCACAAAGGATTGCTCGGAGGAAAGAACAATTACAACAGCGCAGGCAACTTGGGAGTAAGGCTGCAAGGTAATGGCCCCTCCCTCAAGAGGATAAAAGCCAGGTTTGGAAAAGCATTCTTTGCAGACAGCAAAGAAGCTCTGAAGCTCAACTGGTGGACATCTTAGTTCGTGTTTGGAGAATTTTGTAAATTAGTCCTTATCTCTGGGTTTTTGGCAGCATTGACGAACACCTTGGCAAGGCTCTTTCTTGTCGGAGCTAATTAGTGGAAAGCAGCCTTTTATCTGTAAAGGAACAGAATTCGTGATTAAACCTTGAAAGGTGGGGGCTGCTGCCTTTGTCTGTGTTTGCTCTTTGGGAACCCGGTTGGGTCAGAACACTCTGCCACCAAAAACGGAGCTCCATTTTCACTGGCAGAGCACCTGGGCTACCACAGGCACCCCAGATATGAGTGACATCATGCTGGCCACGCCCACTCTGGCCACCTCCACCATGCTCCCCCCTCCCGAGGTCAAACACAACCCTGATGTGGCCCTCAGTGAAATTGAGCTTGACCACCCCTGTTGTAGAGGGTAGGTGGCATAGACACTTAATAAATAAATAAATAAGTACACCTTCTTAATTAAAAATTGGTGATTAAATTTGAATGGCTTGCTTTGTCCTTTCCACAGAGGACACAACCGTTCGATGCGAACAACTGGATCTGCTTCAGGATTGGCTGGCTGATTTCAGAAAATCTACCTCCTCTTCCAGTACAGCCAACCCAGAGGAGCTGGTGGCATTTGATGTGGTCTGTGGGGATCTGAACTTCGACAATTGCTCATCAGGTGAGGCTTTTTTTCATCTAAAACTCAAAACAACTGACGCACCCAAAACCCCAGGGAGCATTCTGTGTGATGATCCCCTTTAGAAGTTTTCATTGAGGTTGTAATTTATACACACACACACACACACTCACACACACACACACACACACACACACACACACACATATAAAAGCAAAATACCACTCATGCATCATCAGAAAATCTCCAGAACCGTAAAGCCTACAAACTTGCAATTTGGCACGTATGTTCCTCTTGGCTTCTAGGTGCTCACTAAGAAAGGATTTTTCAAAATGACCATCAGAGCATTAGTGTTTCCTATATTATTATTATTAACATGCTCTGATGCTAAGGAGTTCTACTCCCCCTCCCCACCTGAAAAGAAATCTGTCCCAAATGCAAAACACAAGCAGAGGAGAGGAGTTCCAGCTTCAGTTTTAGTTTCGCAGCACCAAGCAGCTTTAGTACAGAACAGTTGAGCTAAGCCATGCCCAGGCTTCTTGCTGTCTCCTTCTTGCTCTCACAGCAAATACTGCTTCAGTTTCCAAACAGCCCTCAACTCTCTCACTCACTGACAGGACTCTAGCCAGATGAATACCGATGGATGATGGTAGACAGAGGCAGAATTTTCCCCCCTTATTTTCCTCCCCAAAAACTAAGTCGACCACATAGTTTTGTAGCGAAACATGGGTATCGAGGTAGTTTTTAATATAATAGAAACAGGGGAAACATTTGAAAGGCATGTTGGCATTTTCCTCAGCATCTCATTTTGTGGGTTCAATGGAAACTAAAAGGGTCCTTTCCAGGAAACTCAAAGAGCCCAAGATGGCTTCCTACTTGCCAACAGTGGGGCATTCTTAGAACATAGATTAAGAGGACTGAAAGGGACCTTGGGAGATCTTCTAGTCCAATTCCTGCCCAAGGCTTTGTAGTACTCTGGCCAAATGACTATCCAATCGCTTCTTAAAACCCTTCAGTGATGGACCACCCACAACTTCCAGAGGTGAGCCCTTCAAGGGGTTAACAGTTCTCACCATCAGAAAATCCCTCCTTCGTTTCTAGGATCTCTCCTTGATAATCTTCCAGCTATTCCTCCAGCCTGCCCTCTTTAAGAACTAAATCTAGAACAAGACATCCTAGGATGTAACAATGGAACTCAGTTGAATCCAAGGTTCTTCTGGCATGTCGTTCATTTGTTATGAATATGTTCTGATAAGTCCTCCATTACTTCCCCTGCCCTCCTGTGCACTTGTTTGACCCCATCCCAGGTTACAGATTTCCCTCTTTCCTATGGACAAGACCACTATCTCTGTCATTTATAACAGGGGTCCCCAACCACCGGTCCGCGGAACAAGTCCTACCGGGCCGCTGGTTGCTGGGCGCCGCCATCTTTTTTTGATGAAAAAGTGCTTCCGGTGAGCTTT